GCTCTTCGTGAAGTTGACGTAGTAACTTACGTTCGAGTTTAGATTTATCTCGAACAAATTTGATGCCGGGGGGAAGATTAACATGACTCTTTCTAGCTTCACTAAGCGAAGACAGGAGGCATGCTGCTTCAGCCTTAGAATTAAGGATGATTTTTAGAGGACGAGGGGTGTTGGTGACATTTTTTCCTAGCCTGAATAGTTTAGCGTCAGTAGGGAATTTGAATGACAGATTGGAGAATACATCAGAGACGGATTTCGTGTCATCAGCAATTCTTTCTTGAGGCGTGCGTGAAGTGGATTCAGTGAAACCATAGGCAATTACATTAGAACTACATTTATCACGTTCAGAGAGTTCTTGGATGAGTTCAAGTAGAGGGGGTTGAGGGGAGGACGTATTTGGTGTAGATTGGAGTTTTCAGCTTTCAGATCGGATATTTGAGTTGAAATGTTACCAAGGTTTGACTTGAGTTCTTCGAACTGAGCAGATTGTTGAGCACTTGTTTGCTGGTTTAATTTTAGAAGTTGTTGGTGAGAAGATTCCAATTTAGCAATGGCTTTGAGAATATCATCAGATTGAGAAGACGACAATGCACTCCGGGTGACCGGTTTACTACTAGTACCGGTAAGGGAGAGAGGAGAGATATTCGTTTTCTGCGGCATAATGAATAGCGCCGTAAATAGAAAATAGACTGCAACCAATGATACACTGGCGGAAAGTAGGTGGCAGTAAGAGAACGGCTGCGAATATTAGGAACAAACGATGTTCCGACTCCTCCACGCAGTACGCGAGAGACAAGACTAACGCACGCGAAAACACTTAGAATTTCACTGATAACGGAGCGAGGCAGTAACGCACGTCCGTTCATTAACGATGATAGAACTGTACATAGAGTACTGTACATAGAGTACTGTACATAGAACTGTACTGTTATAGAGTATAGGGGGATAGGGCATGGCATTATACCGTATATAGTCATCGAAGATATTTTTTATTTATTTTGAACATCAATATAATAAAAATAGAAACAATATTATTATAATAAATTATTACTTATGAATTGCATTCATTGCAACAATATCTTATCTTGTAATTTTGATTTATTCTTCGAAATAGTTAATCGCCGTCTCACCGATTAGTTAAAAATATACCGTGCGTGCACTGCAAGATACAGTTATCCCAATCATGATAAGAACTCTGTCATATCGTGGTACCAACTGACACGGTTGACCGGATGTGGTAAAGGATAATGTAGGTGACTCAGAAGAACAACACACGAGTTTACTTTATTATGCACTTATATTACTTTAATTACAATTGTAGTAGTAGGTAGTCACGCGGACGGAACAAAACAGTCCGCCC